GTCAACCAGTGAAACTCTTAGTCTACAAATGAAACATAATTTGAATAAACTAATGTTATACTCCGTAAAAATTTGACACGTCAAAACTACGGAGTATATCCTAAGATGAACCCAGTTGTATTGAATTTACATTAAAAAGAAATATATACTTTTTTTAAAATTTATGGTGAAAAAGTGTCACGGTTTGACCGAAAAAATAAAAACAAAAAAAGTTTTCTGAAACTAAGGAAATTAATTAAAAAAAATTTAGTCAAAAATCGTAAATGGTACTCCCTCCGTCCCAAATTATAATGCATGTTTACTATTCACAGGGTCAAACTTCATTCACTTCCTTTCTCTTTTTTCGTTAGCAATTTGATAAAATAAAATATTATTGTCACTACTAGTTTTGTAGATCTTTTGATGTAGTTTTTTAATATGTAATTTTTATTTTTAAATTCTATACCATTTGTCATATAAAATGGCTTGAAAATAATTTTAGTTAAACATCGTAAATCGAAACATGCGTTATAAAATGGGACGGAGGTAGTAACATTTTTTTTTAAAAAAAAAGAGAAAAGAATAAGTATAAGAAAAAACAAAAGAATCATAAGAAATGAAATCTTAATCTTAATGTTCATTTCAAGGGAAACACAACACACTATTAATGCATATATGAAATTTACAACAAGTAACATTCCCACATTTGTTTATTGTCTACATGACAAAAGCAAAAGATTAGGTTTAAATTGTTGATGATGAATGAGTGCCAGCATGCGAAGTGGGACCCGCCTTTCCTGTTTTTCCCCGGTCTTGTGGGGGCCCACAAACTCGATTCCCAAGCAGCAAAAAAAAAAAAGAGGAGTGGAGTTTGCTGGTTTTGCCAAAGCAAAAGAGAAAAAGTCATTTTAGTATGGTCCAAAGTACACTCCCTATTTATTCTCAATAAAAAAAGGAAAAAGAAAAAGGAACTTGTGAAAGTTAAAAAGATTAGATCCGGTCAGATTAGGTTAGAATTTATTCTAATAATATCAGGTGAATAGAACATGACTTTAATGACAAAAAAAGAGACTCAAATTGGACAAATAAGAAGTATTTTATTTGTTAGAAGCTTTAATTATTTCAAATCTTTAAAAATGAGGTGTTTAGTGGCTTACAACTGTTATTAAATCATACTCACTGCCTTCTAAAACTTTATTCCTAGTTCGGTTTACGAAGTTTGACTATAATTATTATCCATTCAATTTATTTGATTATACGTGTAGAATTAAAAAATAAGGTCCTGTTTGGTACACGGAATTCAAATTATGAAATTGAAATTGAAGACTTCAATTCCAATTATGGTGTTTGATAACACATAAATTATGTGGATTTGGAATTTGTAGTGCAAAAAATGAATTGGAATTGACGAATCCCATGGAACTTCAATTCAATTCCAATTCTATCAATTCCGTATACCAAATTGACCCTAAAAGTTTATATTTAATAATTATATCAAAGGTTCTACAAAACAAGATGCGACATAACTTTATTATTTTATCAAATAACTAACAAAAATAGATTAAAAAAATGATCGTAGTTTGACCATATGAATAGTGTTTGGGAAGAAAAAAAATTAGGACTGAGGGAGTATTTTTAGCTAGTATGGACTAGTCCGTATTAAAAATTATTTAAAGTATTAAATATGCTAATCCCAAAATGGTTTTTGAGCAAAGACTTTTCGTGAAGAAAGTTCAATCAAATTGGAGCCTAGAAAAAGAATTCATATATACTCTAACTGCTTCAACGACTACAACATCTGGTTCTATGTTTAATTTATGAGTGTATTAATCTTTTCGATGAATGAAAATTATTTATATATATTAAATAATTTACTCTCTCCATCCCTAAGTACTGTAAATAGATTATAATTTTTTTCTCTATCTTCGCGATAACTTTTGTTTGTTTACACGATTTCATTAAATATTTGATAAAGTAAAATATTCTTGTCACCTCTTGTTTTGTAGAACTTTTGACGTAGTTTTTAATATGTAATTTTTATATCTTATTGATATACCAATTTTTAAATAAAATAATTTCAAAAAGTATGAAATTTTACTTCGTAACCCGCAATTTGTAATCTATTTAGGAACAGATGGAGTAATATTTTAAGTACCTTTTTAAATACTCCCCAAACTCCGTCCAGATGAGCTATACACTTACTATTACGATCTTTCGATATTTTTTACTATTTCCGTCCGTAATTATTTATTCAATTTTGTCTTTTTTTTAATTAACCATTTTTAGTCTTTGACCTATAATTAAATTATATATATATATATATATATATATATATATATATATATATATTGTATATTACTAATTGAGACATATCCTTTCAATTATCTCTTCTGACAATTTTAGGACAAGGTTGTGAGGGACCTCTAAGGTCATGTTCTTTTCACCTCATTTGATTGATTCTAATCTGATTGAAATAAATTCTGATCCAGTCTAGTTTAATCTGATTTGGATATAGTTAAGTTTAAAGCTATTTTTGATATGCTCTGATAAGATCTCCTCTGATCCAATCTGATTCTAATAAGAATAAGTAATAAGTAAAAAAAAATTAGTTTGGAGAACATGACCTAAGTTGGGAGTTTCACATTTTAAAAAAAAATATTTTGGTGGAATTTTAGTTGGTTGCTGCTAGAATTGGCAAAAAATGACCCGATCTGTTTTTGACCCGAGACCCGACCCGAAAATACTGAGTTTTGAACAAAGGTTTTGCTGACCGAACCCGAAATGACCCATTAAAAATGGGTCAAACCCGATCGAACCCGAACCCGACCTGACCAACCTGCTAATCTAATATTTTTTCAGAATCATACATTTTAATATGAAGTATAATGTTATAAAAATAAGATTATAATTATATTTCTTTACTTACTACTCATTTTTGTATATGGATTTATACCATCATATCAAATTTTAATGATGTCGCATAATTATCTTACATTTTTTTCAAAATTTCTACATATTTAAATTTTTTATTCGTAATATTGACACTAAGTCATAAAAATTATAAAAAATTTCAGAAAAATAAATGAAACTCATAACTCGTTGGGTCAACCCGATAACACTGGGTCATGCCCCTGAACCTGAACTTATCCGAACCCGAAATAATCCAAACCTAAGGTGACCGAACCCGAACCCAAACTCACCAACCGATTTGGCAGGTCTAGTTGTTGCGCATGTGTCTATAATCTATAAGATAAAAGAAACAATTTAATACTCCCTCCATCACGAATTAATTGTCACTTTTATTTTTAGTTCGTTCGAGAATAATTACTTCACTGAGTCGCTCTTTTATTTTCCTAATTAAGGAATATATGGTCTATAATACTTCCTTCGTCCCGAATTGGATGACACTGTCACTATTGCGACTTCTCGATAATTTTTATTTCTTTGTATATTTTCATAAATAATTTGAGTAAAATAAAATGTTTCTGACACATCTTATTTTGTAGAGCTTTTATGTACTTTTAAATGGTGTAATATATAATCTTTTGTTTCTATACTAATTTGTAATTGAAATAATTTTAAAAATAATAGATTTTTGCACGTTGTTTGGAGTGTTGTATCCAAACAATTAATTCAGGACGAAGAGACTATAAGTGTTTTGTAAAATAGGTTTTGTTGCCTTATATCATCCAAAACATATGTCTTATTGTCTATCCAAATAATGTTGTTCTTATGAGTTTTGTTAGACAATAATATTAAGTATTCCTAGTTATGGTAGAAGTTGTATTTTATTAATTAGTTTCCATTCTCTATTTCTAGTTGTGTTAGGAGTCTCTCTTATATATACTCTGTCATGTACTTCATAATTTAAGAGAGCAATATTATTATTCCAATATTTCAACATGGTATCAGAGCCACCGCTCTTGGTGACCTAAAAGAGTTCTTTGCTTTCACCGCCGCAGGTAATTCCAGCGACGACAGCTCCACATCTATTTTCTTTTCCTTCTTTTATCATCAAATCAACTTCTCCATTCAAATGGAAAAGAAAAGAAAAAAAACCCTGTTGAAATCACACACAAAAAACCATCAAAAGAGAAACTTCTCTCTTGTCATCTTCATGGTTCTTCAAAAAACCCAACTCTTCACAAACTCTTTCAACTTATCCTATCTTCTCAAAAAATGATTGTTGTTTCTCTCCAATTCACAATATAAAAATCTCATATCTAGATCTTTTATCCATCACCAATTCTTAATCTATCTTTTTTTCTCTCTCAAATCACTTATTCTAATCATTATTCTCTCATCTCTTTCTCTTCCGTTGAAACTAATAAAAATCTAAAGCAAATTAGCACAAAAGCAAAGCTGAGAGGGGGAATAGAGAAAGAGGAATGAATACCTCGATAACTCACCCCTCAAAGAAAGTCTTAAAAATTCTTATAATTGAGAAAAGAAATAGGGCATTGCCCGGATCCAAAAGGAAGACAAAGAATGTCAATTAAAGAGGCACATCCAATAGCCTTCTCTGTCCTTCTTCGACGTCAGCAGCTACAAGCGCTCGTCAACTCTTTCTCTCTTCTCCAACGACGTCAGCAGCCACCGGCGCACGTTAGACTTCTCTCTTTTCTAACGATGTCAGCAGTTATCGGCGCACGTCAGACTTCTTTCTTCTCAAAGCGTCCAGTTTCCACCTAGTGTCCAAGCTTCCTCTTGCAGTCAGAGTTCAGCGTGAGGGAGGATATTAGACAATAATATTAAGTATTCCTAGTTATGGTAGAAGTTGTATTTTATTAGTTAGTTTCCATTCTCTATTCGTAATTGTATTAGTAGTCTCTCTTATATATACTCTATCATGTACTTCATAATTTAAGAGAGCAATATTATTATTCCAATATTTCAACAAATTTGATCAAGACTCTGCACACATCATTTTTCAGTTAAATAATTCATACAACAACTCTTTTCCAAAAATTATGGAGAATTACTTAAAAAATCAATATTAACATTTACTCCTATTTTCTTACCTTTATTCATTTTCTTAAGAATTTTTCCATTTCCCAACAGAAATGTATTCGTTTGTACTCCTCCGTCTCCTTTAGCTTTCTCCTGTCAATTCAGTCCAACAAAACCACAAAACACTTCTCTTTCTCTCTCAAGAAGACCAACCTTCCATTCCATTCGTCTGGCGTGCATTTATTCAAGAAACAGAGCATCAACAATGGCGGCCAGTAAGTTCGCGACCATGTTACAGAGGAACACGAACAAGATCACAGTTGCTCTCACCTTCGCAGTCTTGGAGTGGACTCTAATATCCCTTCTCCTCCTCAACTCCTTGCTTTCTTTCATGATCGTCAAGTTCGCAGACCACTTTCGCCTGAAACCCCCCTGTTTCTGGTGTTCTAACCTTGATCCCCTGTTCAGAACATGGTGGAAGAATCTCAAGAGCATCGAAAACACAGATCTTTTGTGCGAAACCCATTCCAGGGAAGTCTCCAAATTGGGATTCTGCGAGACCCATCACAGGTTAGCTGAATCTAAGGGCATGTGTGGGGAGTGTTTGGATTTCGGGATGTTTCCATGGATAAAGGATTTGAAGGTGATCCATAGCGGGGATGATGCCTGTTCTTGCTGCGGTCTGAGCTTGGCTGGGGATTCTGGGGAGGGTAAAGATTATATTGTGATCAAATCTTCTTCTTGGAATCAGCTGATCAAAGAGGTGGATCATGTAGAAATCTGTGAAAAATCGAGTCTTGAAGGTTTTAGGGTTGAGGGTGAAGAAATTTGTGGGGTAAAAGGAGGGCTGGTTCTTGAAAATGGAATCCCGGGGGCAAATTTGGAAACGAATTTGGGAGATACCTCCAAACATCTCGAGTTCTTCGTCGATTGGAGCGGGCGTGATCTGGTGCCGGTTGAACTGGTGGATTTTACTGTGGAGGAAGACGAAGATAGGCGGAGACTCGAAGAAGAAAATGAAACAGATGATCTCAAAGAACATAAATTTGCAGTGTCTGAGTCCATGGAGATTGATGAGGATGAAAGTTCTCTGGGTTTTCACTCGAATTCGGACTGCTTCACAGAAAGAAAGTGCTATGAATCAACAGAAAACATTGTTGAAGTTCGAATCTCCGATTCTCAAGAACACCAAGAAATAGAATCAGATACTACAGTTGCAGGTAGAATTCAATCCCAAGGTGTAAAGAACAATGCTAGGCCTAACTCTAATCATGATTTTTTTTTCATGTTTTCTGTTTCCTAATAAAACTTATTAAAAATGCTATTTTTTGATGAACACTGAAAAGCTCAACTTCATTTTCTGCAACTTGTTACCAAGGGCTTATACACTCAAGTGATTCTTTTTTTATATGTCTTTGCAGTTTCTGAAGAAAATTCACAAATGCAGGTGAACGAAACTGAAGCTGAAGTCTCAATCGGGACTGAGATCCCCGATTTGGATATTGTAGATGAAAACCCTACCATTAGTTCTACAAGCTGTCTAGTTGTTCATGAATATCATTGTAAGATTCTATATTTTATTTTCAACATGCCAAAAGTTTAGCTCAACTTGTAACCAATGTGTGTGTTTGTCAAGGAACCAACTCAACCACAAGCTCAAGCTTGTGGTTATACGTCCAGGAAAGATTTATATATACTCTGACATGTGTTTTATGTCTTAGGTTGTAAAGAAGACCAACATCAAACATTGGAATCAGTAGATGGGAGCGGCGTGATGATTGAAGTTGATGGTTCTGGTGCAACCGAAGTCATTGAACGATTAAAATCAGCTTTGGAATCTGAGCGAAATTCACTCCAAGCTCTATACATGGAGCTGGAAGAAGAGAGGAGTGCTTCGGCCATTGCAGCGAACCAAACAATGGCTATGATCAACCGTCTCCAAGAAGAGAAAGCAAAGGTCCAAATGGAGGCACTTCAGTACCAAAGGATGATGGACGAACAGGCAGAGTATGACCAAGAAGCTCTGCAACTCTTAAACGAACTCATGGTTAAACGCGAGAAAGAAAGACAGGAAGTGGAGAAAGAATTGGAGGTTTATAAGAAAAGGGTGTTCGAATACGAGGCTAGAGAGAGGAGGAGAAGCGCATTCTCTTCTGTTTCTTGTAGCAATAGTGACGAGAGCGATGGGTTATCCGTTGTTGAACTTAACCATCATCATAATCATCATCATGATCATCATCATCAAGATGAGAAAGAGGAAGAGGGACTGTTCTATAACACACCCATTGATGAAGTTTTAAACTTGGATTACGAGGACGAGCGAGTGGCAATTCTTGAACAGCTCAAGGCCTTGGAGGAGAAGCTAATGAACATGGAGTTTGAAGAGGTTGACGAAGAAAAGGAGAGACCGAAAATCTTGATCAGTTCAATGGGGAAGAGTCTGCTCCCACTCTTTGATGCCATTAGTGTCGAAAACGGAGATTATGATGATACTTATGATTCAAATAATAATAATAATAGTAATCATAGTAACAAGCGGTTTGCTGTTGAAGAGGAATTGGATTGTCTTCATGAGAGGCTATTAGCCTTAGAGGCAGACAGGGAGTTTCTGAAGCACTGTTTGAGCTCGTTGAAGAGTGGCGGGAAGGGGATGGATCTTCTGCAAGAGATTCTCCAACACCTTCGCGCTCTAAGAAATGCAGACCTTCGTGCCCGAAACGGATGCCTTGTTTGATTGAATCAACACTTCAAAGAAAGATTATATTGGTAACATTACAATTCTACCCCCTTCTTTACCTCAACTAATTTCATATATTTACATTTCTACCCCCTTCTTTACCCAAATCAATGCTTACGAAAACGGTTGCCTTCTACTGGCTTTTTTGTTGTTATTTACTCTCGTTTTTGTCTATTTTTGTACTTTCTTCATGCTTCACTGGTTTGTTTGTTCATAATTTTGTATTTGAGCCGAGGGTCTCTTGGAATCTGTCTCTCTCTTTAGAGTAGGGGTAATATTTGCGTACGCACATCCTTCCCAGACTCTATTTTTGTGGGATTTTACTGCGTTTTGTTGTTGTTTACTGTCGTTGATTGTAGACCCGTTATAGGTTTTATATACTCTAACATAAACTTTTTTTATTATTTACTTAACTTTGGCATTTCAGGCTACATAGAACTGTGGGGGAAGTCCAGTGAGAATTGGCAACATCACATGAAAATCTTGCATTAGAAAGGACATGAATGTGGGGGGCTCCAAGATGTGAAAAGTCATTTTAGTCCTCTTGGGAGACAACAAATTATGGTCTGCCAAAACTTTTGTTTTCTCATGCTTTTGTTGTCACAAAAAAAAATGTTTTTTAAACCCCAATTATTATTGTTTGGTTGGGGTTGGGTCCATAACCACACCTCCTTTTGTGGGATAAAAGGGAATGGTGAATGATTTGTGTGTGTTGTAGTGAAGTGTGTGAACCACTCACTATTGTCTCTTTTCTATTGCATTACACAGTCCACTTGTTTATTGTACACAAAATTAGGTCATAGAAAAATATAGTCCATTTTCTTTTTAATTCAATTTTATGAATTTTGTGGGAGGGCGAGGATAAAATTGGAATTTTCCTCTTCCTCCCCTTATTTTCATGTGTCACATTTTGTGTTGTAGAAAAATGTTACGTGTTCCTGAAAAAAGAAAGCACGAAGAGGAGAGTCTGAATGTCCTGACTCTCTCTTTTTGGCATTCTTTGTTTGGGCACGACGTTTCAAGATTTGTATACTGATAATAGAGTACAAGTTTGAAACTTTGGGTACATGTTGAGGGGTTGTTTTGTTGATATAGCATTGGATTTTTAAGTCATTTTATTGTCTATTTCATTTAGTGATGTCATAATTTTTATTTTTTGAGAACTGTATATATACCCTTGTATTATGCGGAGTAGTTATGAGTGTTCACTACAATGAGATTGGGATTCTTGCTCATCCGTAGTGTATATATAGATGTTGTTATAGGCAAAATTGTTGTGTTAACTCCTTCCGTCCCAAATTAAATTGCATGTTTACTATTTACATGGTTAAATTTCATTCACTTTCTTTTCCTATTTTTGCAAGTCATTTGATAAAATAATATAATCATCTCATCACTAATTTTGTAGATTTTTTGATGTTTTTAAATATGTAATTTTTATTTATTTAATTCTACACCTTTTTTATATATAATGATTTGAAAATAACTTCAGTCAAATATTATAAACTAAAACATGTGATTTAAATTGGGACGGAGGAGTAAAAAGTGCTGACATAAATAATCTATTAAAAAAATATAACTTTGTTTTATAAATAGAAAAAAATATAAACTTTTATAGGGAAAATGATAGGGAAGTTTGATCCAATGGAGTAGTTTTGTAATTCTCTCATCCCAAATTAAGAGCATGAATAATGGTAAGACAAAAATGAAATGTCACACACTGACTTGGAATATTTCAACCAATAAAAAACAGTCCACTCAACGAGTGACACGTGAGTGGAGTGGCATGCCTTGCAATGGCAAGTCATTGTTTTCATCACTTTTTTTCTTATTTTTGCCATATTTGAATTATTAAAAATTATACTACCTATATATTTTTATCATGAAAATATTTCTATTTACTCAAATAAATAATTTTTTTATGTATTTTAATTATTTAAAATGTTTTTGTTACCTATTCCATATTTTTATTTTAATCATGAAAATATTTATATTTACTCAAATAAATACATTTTTTATGTATTTTAATTATTAAAAATGTTTTTGTTACCTACTCCATATATTTTTGATGTGTTTTAATCATTAAAAAATATCTTTTATTTATTTTATAAATAAAAGATGGAATGCCACGCTCCTACCTCTCCATGCATGGTGAAATTTGACAGCCACGCGAGTCAAATTTATTTTCCATCTTCTTTGTGCTGATGTGGCGTGGCAAGGGAGCCAATATACTCGCCAATCGCCATTGTATTTGCTCTAAGCTGTATGTTTATTATTGACAAGATCAAATATCTTTAACTTTATTTCTTTAATTTTTTTATTTTTTTGATATAATCATATAATCACGTCACATCTCTTTTATAGATCTTCTGATGTAGTTCTTTAATTTATAAGTTTTATTTTTGAATTTTACTATAATTTTTAAATAAATTATATTAAAAATAATTTTGATCATTCAGCATAAACTAAAACAGACTATTTAAATTAAGAGCGAGGGAGTAACAAATTAGGTTAGGGTCAACCCTTACATTAATTGTAGACGGGACATAGGCAACTCAAACTAGTCCAAAGGTTTGAAACTTTGGCCTTCATTAGGGCCAACGATGACGGAGTATATATTTTCAATACTCCATTATTCATTTTTTTTGTCAATTTCGAAGTAGATTTCATATTTCTTTCTTTTATGTCCAAGAATTAAATATGTGACTTATTTTTTAAAAAAAATAATACTACGAAATAAATTATTTTGATTCAACGATACTCATTTGAAGAATTTGTGCATGGGGAATGGGGATAAAGGAGTATCTATCTCCTTCAATCATAATCATGCATGAGCCATTTCTATATTTTTTTAAGTTGATTCTTAAAATAGGCATTTCTAACAAGATATTTTTAAAAATTACTCCCTCCGTCCCTCATAGATCTTCTCAATAGCCTTTTTTCTTTGTCCACAATAGATCTTCTCATTTCATTTTTTAACAATTAAAATACTGCAACTACCCCCATTTACTTTATTTATTACACCTCACCCACCTAATTTAATACACTCCACCCATTTTTCATTAAGGGTATTATGATAAACTTTTACCTTTTTTCAACTCTCCTTAAAAACCACCAAAAGTCAAAATGAGAACATCTCAGGGAAACGGAGGGAGTAGTACTCAATAAGTAATACTTGTAATTACTTACGCGATCTTTTATAATTTAGATTTATTCTTTAAATGGTTTCTGTCGTTAATGTCAGTCAAATAAAAAATGTTTTCGTATTTTCTATCATCTAAACTTAAAATATGTTTTCGAAATACTCTTTTGTAATTAAGTGTTTTTCTAAACTGATAATTTCTAAGTGTTTTGCTGAAATGGAGTCTATATGAGCTGACTCATGGTGGGTTCGTTCTTTTAGCAGTCATCCATTTAGTTTGAAAGGATCATTTTAAAGATTTTTTTTATAGTTTAGATTATAGAAATTATCAAAGTACCATCCATTTAATATTCATTTTTGACAGAAGACTATTTAGAGAATAACCCTCAATTACAATAGACCACGTTAGTAATTACTACTCCCTCTATTTCAAAAAATGATTCCTATTTAGACTTTTTGGAAAAATAAAGAGTGTACTTTTGTTGACTTTTTAATTTTTTTCTTTTGATGTGGTAAATAAAAGTAAGATGTTATAAATAAATTATTAGTAAAAAAAGTATAATGTGATAGATAGGGTAAGAAAAAATATGAGTAAAAATGGTTTTTTAATAGAAAGTGGAAGTCTTCTAGAGAAAATAAAAAATAAAAGATGAAGTGTTTTAAGAAACAGATGGAATATTTATTAAGGATTAATTTGAAAAAAAAAACCTAATTAGAAAGGATCATTTTATAGATTCATTCTTTTTTATGTTGGAATGTAGCGAGTATTACACTTCTCATATATTTCTCTAAAGAAAAGTGAAACGAAAGTGGGAAACAAATTCCACACAAATGGAGTGAAATGAAAGTAATTTTTTTGTTTTGAGCTCTCTTCTCTCTCATTTGACCTTTCTTTATGAACTCTCTTCCCTCTTTGTTAATTTTATTCAATTAATTAATTTATACGGAATAGTAATAAATTTTGCAATAATAGTTTTAAAATAAATTTAAACACTTTCAATTATATTTAATACTTTAACTATAATATACTCCGTATTAGTTACATCTTGCAATAAATAAATAAATTTAATTTTCAATAGTTATAAATTGAGTAATAAACTAATAAGTTTGTTCGATACTTCCTTCAAACACTGATCATGGACTCGGGTCCCGGTCCAACCTGCAAAGGCCCAGGCATAGTTTTTTTGTGTTTAATTTGGCCGGACTGGCCTGACACTGCGGGGGCCCATTAGGAATGAGGGCCGAGTATGAAATGTATTAATAAAGCCCGTGAACGACCCGAACCGATTCTTTACTAAATCCCAAAAGTAGTCTTCCACAGAATCCATACATGTTCTAATTTTTCCTAATTTTTCGGAACTAAACACGAATACTCCAATAGTAGTGTTATTAATAAGAGAAATATGTCTAAATAGGACTAAAACATAATGACTTTCCCAATATAGGACCATATGTTTTTATTTCCCAATGTAGGACCTTTGGTAATTATCAAGTAGTCATTATTCAACTAAATGTCCATCGTTACTGGACATTATTCCTTCCACCAGGTCATTAATAAGTCCTATTTAGGGAATAAAAAAGTTTAAGTCCTACATTAGGGAAGTCATTATGTTTTAGTCCTATTTAGTGCAAATTTCACTATTAATAAGCCATGGTTGCAACGAGCACATTAAATAGGTGCATTTCGTTTAGAAAAAAATTTCTATATAAAATAAAAAGGTAGTACATTTTTTTAAATGACACCAAATATGTTTTATTTCTTTTATGACACATAATTTCATATGATCTGCCATATATGCATTCATTAGCAACAGTGTTGGATAATGACTTATTATACAAATGACTCTATAAATTTGGTCATAAGCAACAAATATTAGATAATGTCTGATTATTTTAATGATCATTCAATTTTTTTAAATAATGTCTTATTTTACTTGAATTGTATAATAAGTCATTTTCTCAAAAGCATAATATTTTAGAATTTTCCATTGCCAAACGTTAGAAAACTTTTCATTGCCAAACGTTAGAGTAGATATGACTCATCCTATTTAAGGAAAAATGATATGTTTAAGTTCTATTTGCGTAAATCCCACCCCATAATTTAGATTGAATTCTACCTGCAACACGTTAGAGTAGATATGACTCATCCTATTTTCTTAGTATATTTTTCCATAAAAAAATACCTAAACTTTACTTAACCTTTTAAAAATAAATTTACTATCTTCGTCCTTAAATGTTTGTCGAGTTATGCCTTTTTGTAATCAATTATTTCTGACATTTGACCTTGAACTAAATAAAAATAATCAAGTATATTAATTATATGAAGTAATATTTTAAAAATATTGTATAAAATAGATCTAATAAAATTATTTTTGTATTAATATCTAAAACTAATATTATTTAATTGGTGGTTAAAATTTGTAAATTTTGATTAAAAAAATTAAAACTGAACAAATACCCTACTAACATTTCTCAATTTATCTCATTAAAGTTCTAAGTTGATGTTCAAGTATTTGTTTGACTAAAATTAACTTTCCATTTGATTTTTTAGTCTCCAATGCGACACTTTGATCCTTAATATCTTTATTTTTATATAAATATATAATATAAAAATAATATATTTCAAAACAATGTTTCAAAATAAATTTATTGATAATAAATTTATATGAAAATTCAATATTTTTTCTCGTAATATACAGTCGTTTAAAAAATTTGACTGCAAAAATCAAACTGGAAAGTTAATTTTAAGACAGAGGGAATAATAATAATAATAATAATAACCCAGGTGTAATAATTTTAATAATTACTTTAAATAACAAAAGTGTGCAGGGAATAGAGACAAATAATAATGATGGAGCAAGAATAGAGAGGGTGGGCTTTTGCACACACCACCACATTTTCTCTTTACACAATCATCGAAGCAAAAATCACGAATGGGCCGAGAAGTAGGCCAGAAGGCCCACTAGCGGAGCATTAGTATATGTAGTGGGCTCGGAACCCTGGTACAAAGGCCTCCAGTCCGGGAAGTTATCCGTGATGTTTGGCCCACCAACCACGGCTCCGATCAATTTGTTCGGATTCGGGTACTGGCTCGCAAAGTATTTGGACCCCTCTCTGCACCCGATATGGGCCGGGTGGACATTCACCGAGGGTATCGAACTCCCTCGGTGATGAATCCTCTGCGGGTAACGGGCACCGTATCCGACCATGTACGACATTCCCATCGGATTGTCCCCAAGAATGTAGTCAACCTAAAAGAGAAAAAATACAAGAAAAACAATGTTACTTAAAAGTACTTCCTAAACTCAAATAAAAAGTACAATTATTTTGCACATTTTGATCAAAAGTTAAACTGTTTCACGCAATTTTTTCTAATTTAGTTTACCCAAGTTCGATGACACTCACTTTAAATGGTCACAGAGGACATTGTTCGTCCCTCTATGAGACTCTCTTCGTAAAATTGATTGTTCATACATCTAACCCTCAAAGTTAGTTCTGATCTCAACTCATCTTTCACCCACGTCAATTCAATTACAGAGTGCAAGTTTAATTGAATTTGAGAACAGAATTTTTAACCTCTAGGTTAACTAAACTTACACTCTGCCATTAAGGTGAGTGGAAATGAGTTAAAGTGGAGATTAAGTGGAGGGTTACGAGGGAAAAATGAACAATCAATTTTGTGAACAAACATCATAGGTGTCTCAATTGAAACATTGTCTTTCGTAATCACTCAAAACAAGTGGCCATTGAACCCCGCCATCGTATAGGAATTGTTTGGTTAGAGGAAAAATATACTAAGAAAAAAAAGAGGAAAGGATTAGAAGAATAGTAACCTGGCGTTTGGCTAAGCGTCTAAGGAGAGCAGGGGTGGCAGAGGTCTGGCCACATGGCACGATGCGATTGGCGTGGCTTAGATAATTGGAATAAGCCAATAGCAGGAAAGACAATGATGTCACGTGTTGCATGTTACAACTCCCTGGCTTTACTATCAGTCCACCTTCATCCATCCAAACACGCCATAACTCACCCATATCAGTCCCAAATTTTTTAAAAAATAAAATAAATAAATTCCATAAATAGTCCCTACTCACATGTCTTTTTCCAATTTTAGTCATCAATTCTAAAATATTTCGTCCCTAGTTTTTGAAATTATTCCATAATTTCTGAAATTGGAGAATAGTTTTCAAAAAATTGGGGATCATTTATGTAATATCTTAAAATTGAACACTAAGGGGCTGTTTGGCAACTTCTAAATGGGTAAGTGCTGAACCAGTAAGAGGTCTGAATCATTAAGTGCTGAACCAGTAAGAGGTCTGAACCATTAAGAGCTAGTATATTGTTTAACTATTAAGAGGCAAATATCTGATCAATTCAGATAACAGCTCTTAACCATTCAGACTCTGTATAATACTTAACCATTCAGAGGCAAATCTCTTAACCATTCAGACATCTGAACCATTAAGAGGCTGAAACAAACAGTCTGAACCATTAAGTGCTGAATCATTCAGACATCTGAACCATTAAGAGGCTGAAACAAACAGCCCCTAAATATGAAAAGCTACTTGTAGTTAGGAACTATTTATGAAATAAACTCTTAAAAAATCATATTATATATAACATCTTATTTTTATACGGAGTAGTATATAATCTCCGTTGAGGAGGATGACACCAAAGTATACACCAACCGCTTCACAATTATTATAATTCTCTGTAATGTGTTAGACAGCGACGGTGTTTATTTCGGTGTCATCCGTGGTGTGACTGTAGGAGATGAAACTGGGTATAAGAAAGATACCTGGAGAATACTGAACTTGAGGATGGGAAATGCCAGGAAGTATGGAGCAGATGAAACCATCAGCCATTATCTGGAAGGACTTTAGGTCATTTTCCTTCCCCATTAACACTTCCTATTAGTTAATTAATTAAATATGTATAAACAAACCCAAAAAAAGGATTGATTAGTAATTTCAACAAATTGTGATTTAATTACAATGAAACCATTAAAATCAATTCAAAACCAGACAGGCAGGCATGACACATAATCAAGAGAGTACAAGTACAGTTTTGAAGAAAAAAACATTATTTAAACAGGAAAATACAAGAAAACAAAATATTCTTGATAACCCAACAGTAATATAATATTGGGTGTTATTTTACAAAGAGAGTTTGTCAAGTCCGTTGATCCTAAGGTTGAATTCCGACAGTGACAGTATGTGAGTTTTATTATTTGTAATAGCTCTCTAAAGACCAAATTAAGATTATAAATGATTTATCCTTTAACAATTTTGTCAGGCCGAGGTGTAGAATCGCCCTGAGTGGGCGTTCCACCTTTTTTTAAATTACTCCCTCCGTCCTATAATGATCTTCCCAGAGCATTATTCCAACTTCACGGGAATTTATATTTATTTGTATTTTTTCATGGTCTATATGATAAAATAAAATATTCTTGTCACCACTTGTTTTGTTGAATTTTTGATGTAGTTTTTAAATATGTATGTATTATTTTTTATTTCTATACCAATATTTAAATAAAATAGATTGAAAAAACTTGGGATTTTTCTTCGTTTTGCGAACCGGGAAGATCATTATAGGACGGACGGAGTAATTTGTAGGAGTAAGTCATGATGATTTTTTCAAAAAGGCAATATAATTATGTCATGTTTGGGGAAAATATTGGAAAAATGTGTCATGTGAGAGTTCAGAATCTAGAGCTAAGAGTGAAGTCACAGTCACACTTTTTTTTATTGGGGAAAAAAATATTTGAAAAATATACAAATGTGGATTAAAATGGTGATATGAAGAATCACTGCTCTCATCAGCCAGTATGGAAAGATAATAGAAAAATAATTGTCCTTTCCCCACTTCTTTTTGCACATGCAATTACCAGAGACTTCAAATGTGAGAGAGAAACAGTATTCCTATTTCCAATTTTTTTTCCTTTTTTAATTTGAGGTCTCTTATGAAGACATATGGGGGCAATGTAGGTTTTTTCTCTCTACATAAGAAAATTAATACTTACTCTGTCCCAAAAAAAAATTATTTTTTTTTTCTCAAAAAAAAATCTCTTCTTTTCTTTTATAGAAAATTTGAGTAGTACAGAATATTTTTCTATCTTTTGTATTACTTTAAAATTCATATTTCCACTTTTTTTTAATTTTATGCCAAATCAAAGTGTAATTCTTTTGGGAAATAGAGTTGTAAATGACAGCTACAATTTGGCCCATTTTTTCCTTTCCTTTTTCATGTTTATAAAAAGTTAGAAGCTAAGATTGGATATGGAATGGCTCCCATATTAAGTAGCTTGTCTAGGATTGTCACCCATCAAGTGTTTCACTTTCTTTCACATAATCACATTAAGCCCTATAAAAACTTTCACATTTCTATTTTATTTGTAAAATTTGCAATAAATAATATTAAAACATATGGGGAGTATATCATTTCTTAACATAGTATTTAAACTTTTTTATACTTTAAATAATACTTGAATAATGTCTAGTAGCAAAAATAATGTCTCGTGATGTTGGACATATAGTTTGAACAATATCCAGTGATGATTAACATTTACTTGAACAATGACCGCCCAATAGTACTGTATTGAAAAAGTCATTATACTTTAATACTAATTAAATAAATTTCCGAATTTTTTTTACGAAAATATAAATTCTTGGGGGTTCTTTTTTTTTGCCAAAAAAAAGGTTGAGCCTTTTTCAAATAAGGGGGCCCACCCCTGGTTGGATCCAACACTCCAAAGGAAAGATGATGGAAGAAAAGGAGAGAAAAAAAAAGGACCCAATCACTCACCCAATCCAATCCAATCCAACCCACACCATGTGGATAATGGATTGGGAGACATCTTCCTCAACAAGTCAAGAACTTAATCCTCCACAAAGATAATAATATAGGACAGGAAGAATAAATGACATGTATTGAACTATTTGGTGAATATTTTTACACACCAAACCAAACAAACCCACTATTCCACTCTCATAATGGATCTAGAGAAAATAATTTACCAATCAAATATTTACTATTAAAGTAAAAAAAAAATAGAGTGTAATTAGAGAAAGTAATTAGTTAGTTAATTGATTAATTCACCTTAGAAATGAGGACATTGATCCCGGCATGTTTGTTATCCCATCCAAATTCATTGATGGTTTCTCCGGCTCTCAAAACGACCTCGTTTCTCACTATGTATTCCCTGAAAACCCTTCTCCTCGACGCCTTGTGCAACCACGCCGCCGCCCACAGGAGTTCATCCTAGGTGTATATATAAACCAGTCCGGCCATCATTTTGAAATCCCAAAAATTCATAAATTAATTTTTTTATTAAAAAAAATTAATTATAAAAACGTTAATTAATTAATTAATTACCTGGTAGCCATTAAAATCACAGTAAAAAGGACAGACCGCATTCAGCAAGCTGGAACTATATGCACCCCGGTGATTGTCGGCAAACTCAAAAACCTGCCCAGATTTTTCACCACGGTGATTTATTATTATCATTAATATTATTACTACTAGCTACTTGTATTATGTTAATTTTAAAAGATTATTATAAAATGCCAAAAAAAAAGAAAATAATGTACTGTAATTAAAAACGAATTGTTTGACCAACTGTATCATTCACTGTGGGACGTGACGGAAATGGAATACTTAATTGTGTTGACTGTCTCACAAATTATTACCGTGTACAAAACTATTTTTAGAGAAATGAAGGAGCATTTGTGAAAAACATATTGGTAAAAATGATCACCTTGTAATATTTGATAACAGGAAGATTAAATAGAGAAATTTTATCTTAAGGATCAATTATAGAATTTGTATTCATTTTTTTATATTGCCATTTCGTAAAGCCACTTTTATTCGTGTTTGTTTAACTTTTAATTTATCGCAAAATTATAATTGTTAATTACGAATAAAAATTTTGACTCCAAAATAAACTAAACTTGCACCCTGTAATTGACATGGTTGGAGGGAAAGAAATAAATTATCAATTTTGCGAATGGAGCACCGTAATATCCCAATTTGTTTAGGGGCTTCTAAAGCCATAGAACCCCTATTAGCAACTGTTTTTCATTAATAATATCCTTTGCCGTGAGACCGTTTGCCAATGGGCCATCCAGTGGCCCTTTTTTACACATTTATACTTCCATGCATTTATTGGATTGTCTTTAAGGAATATATTAACTAAATCATTTTCTATTTTAAGTTTTTTAAACTTATTTTATTCAAATATTAATATAAAAATTAAAAATAAAACATACATAACAAAAAGCTCTTCAAACCTTCTACAAAATAATACTCCCTCCGTTCCACACAACTCTTCCTCTTTCGTTTTTTTGCTTTCCACAAAACACTTCCACTTTCTATTAAAAAACCACTTTTACCCCTACTTTTTCATATCTTACCTATCACATCATACTTTTTCACTAATAACCAAACTATCACATTTTACTTTTTTCCATCACATCATGGGCAAAATTGAAAAGTTAACCAAATTTACACTTTCCTTATTTTTTCTCAAAGTCAAAATCGGAAGGGTTTTGTGGAACGGGGGAGTAAGTGACAAAAAGATTTTATTTCATGAAAATATTTTTCTCAAAACAAGATGGAGAGAGGGAGTATTATACTTATACTTTTAAAATTATTTTTTCCCATCCCCACATTTTATATCCCATCACATTTGTTTCAAGATGAAAATGAATTTGCCTTTATAATATTAAAATTACTTATCCTACCCATCACATTTTAGTGTACTCTCTTCTTCCCTAAATCATTTATATTTTACACAAAATAAAATAAAATTTAAAATTTTTTAATTCATTTTATTTTAATTTTATTAAATAAATAAAAAATAAAATTTACATATTTAAAAAAATATATGAAAATTTTTGTAAAAATGAAGTGACAAGAATATTTTACTTTGTATTTAATTAAATAGTCAATGAAAACATATAAATAAATAAAATTTTCCATAATTTTTGAAAAGTTAAGTATTTAAATTATTTGTGAACAGAGAAAGTATATTTTTTTAATTTGTAATCAAAATTTTTACAAATTAACAGTATAAGTCAAAAGGACTAGTTTTTACCACAAAGAATTATAGAAATGGAAAAAGCATTTACTATGAGAGAGACAAAACACCACTTACTTTAACGGCTCGATTGAGGAGTAGCCTAGAGTACGCAGGGTCACGTGACCGGAAAACAATGGACGCCGCCGCCAGAGCAGCCGCCGTTTCTCCGGCGACGTCCGATCCCGGGTTGCTCCGGTCAATCTTGTACACCGTTCTCAGAGTGTCCATGTCCTCCGGCCTCTCCCAGCACTGGTGGTCGGAGTTCCCGTCCCCCACTTGCACGTACACTACTCCGTCCGTCGCCGTCGCCTTCAGCAAGTAGTCCGTCCCCCACCTCACCGCCTTCACGGCGTTCCTCGCCTCCCCGCCCATGTTCCGCCCGAAGTCTATTATGCTCCACGACAGCATTGTCGTCGTGAACGCCATCGGGAACCCGAATTTCACGTTGTCGCCGGCGTCATAGTACCCACCTGTCAGGTCCACCTAAAAACAGAGGATTTTGCACCAATTTAACCACAAATTATTAAAAAAATGATTTTAATGTAATTTTGATATTCCAAAATGTAACAATTAAGAACCAATTTCGGTTCTAACTTACTCCGGCGGTGGCGCCGTCGTGCAATGCGGAGTCCCTCCTCCACCGGAGGCGTTGGTCGGGCGGAAGTCTACCGGAGCGTTGGCCTTCGAAGAAGAGGATGCTCTTCTGGAGGGCGTCACGGTAGTTCTGGGCTCCGGCGGAGCAATGTAGGAGGGCGGTGAGAGAGATGAGGGAACCGAGGAAGAAAACGGCGGAGATGTGCCGGAAGCTTGCCGGGAAATAGAACGGAGTTGGCGCCATTTTTTTCGGCTGTTCGGAGGAGGGGAGAAATGATGTCGGGAAGAGTCTCTTTCTTTATAGAAGTGTTTTGACCGTTGGGCCATTGGATTCTCGGGTGACACCCAATGAATTTGCGACGCGTGGTGAGACATGATTGGGCGTTCTGGAAGCCGATGAGTGGATTTGACTGGAACCAGAACACGTTTGACCAGATTCGGGCTGGACCGGACTAAATGCATATGGATTGGGCCGGCGTGAGGGCTGCAGGCTACTAGTGAATTTTGGATTGGATCGGTTACCGTCGGATTTGTAAGGGGACACGTGGAGGGCATAAAAGTAAAAGAATGCGGGGCCCGGTTCCTGGATGAAATCAGGTGGGGCAGGTATGGGTAGACTGAGTAGGTTTCTAAAGTAATTTCAACCATAAAAAAAGTCACCAAACTTCCCATGACATGGAATAACTCGGGGACGTTTCGGTACCTCGTTCGTAAAATGTAACTTACACATTTGATAATGTAAGTGTATTTTAAATCCTATTTCGAGAATAATAACATGAAAGTTTTATTTTGATATATTTTTAATATTTTATTCATACTTTAATATTTTTTTCGTTTTTATGCACTACTTTGTGCGCCATACCGCCCATACGTTGCTCAAACACTTTGATAGATTTTACTAATGCATCATTATGGTATATAAAGTGATGCACAAATAGTATAGTCCATAAAGCAAATTGCCAAATTCTATGATAGACCCGAGATTCATCATAGAGTGATATATGAGCAAAATAAAAAATTTTTACTACTTAAATAAGTAATTTTTTTAAAATAAAATATATATATATAATTTTTTTATGTGAGAAGGTCTATAAAAATGATATGCACTCATGGTGAACCAAAGAAGCATTCGATCCAGAAATGTTTGCTTGTGCCTTGATCTTTGTTTTTAGAGTTTTAGATTTTTTGTCATGGAGTTGGTTTCTAAATACTCCGTATGGTTATTACTTCTTTTGTCCTAATTTAAATTTTCAATTTATTATTAATTATGTTTAATTTTCATCACTTTAATTACTTATTTTCGTTGCTTTAATGATAAAATAAGATAGTTATGTCACTTCTTATTTGGTAGACCTGGCCTTTTGTTATAATTTTTAAATATATAAAATTTAACTTTTAATTCTACTCCAAATTCTATATAAATTTATTGCAAATACCTTCAGTCAAACATCGTAAACAACAATAGAAAACTTAAAATGAAAAGGAGGGAGTATCATATTTCCTCCGTCCAAAAAACACTTCTTAATTATTTTCTTTTTGTGAGGTTACAAAAAGCACTCCACTTTTCTTTTGAAATTTTTTGATTGATTCAAAATCTTTCTCTGTTTAAATCATTTTCAACCACACATTTTAATTTACGAAAATCCATACATGCCCTAATTCTAATATCTAGTGTTTGAGTAATTCTTTACACTTTAATCTTAATGGGACTATGGAGTTTTTAATGAAGGTGAATCTCCATGCTAGAATAGTAGAATCTAAGTATGGAGTCTAAAAATTTGAATGTTACTATTATGTATACTAGATATATTAGAAAATAAAATATTATTATATTCTATCTTCCTTATTCTCTTATTTTCTTGTTGCATTGTTACAATAATTTTCTTTTATTTAGATTAGAATTCTCTATTGTAATCTATATATATATATATAGATGTATCATTTACTATTCAATAAAACTAATTATTATCCGAGTAAATTCCATAAGTAATTCTTTATAACATGGGACTTTTCATATTTTGTCCTTTATTATCAAATATTACTCTTGTATTCCTTTACAAATTCTTTTATGGGTGCTTTCCAGAAATGATCCTTTTTTAATCTTTTATAATGTTGGTATTAATTTAATGGCTAAAAGTATAATTTGACATCAGCCTTATGTCCAGTAACGTATTCTGATATTGGTTAGATGAATAATACAAAAGTAATGACTATGGTTGTGAGTTAGAATCACATGCCAATAGAAGACTATACTTATAGACTTTGGTTGTAGTAGAAAATGAATGTAATTCACAAACGACGCATCAGAAATGACATTTTGAAATTATACTTTTAGCCTTCAGATAAATATCAACATGATAGATGATAAAAAAATGACTACATGTGGAAAGATATCCATAAAAGAATGATCATCGGGATAATATTTGATAATAGAGGAGTAATTATAGAAACCTTTTTATAATAAAGGACCAATTATGAAATTTACTCTTATTATCAAAATTTACATATTTAAAAGCAAATGTGGCAAACATTTTGGGACGGAGGGATATAATTCTTTTCCGTTTTCTATGTCTCTCCCCTAACAATTTCGTATTTTTGTTCATAGCGGCTAGCCTAGCTACTACGACCACTTTTAAGAAGATGTTTGACATTGTGTTTGAGAATAACTTTTGAGCTTCTTCTTCAGCCAAAAATACTCTTGTATGTTTGTCAAATTTAGTTATGCTTATGGTGTATGACTTCTGGGTACAAAATGAGCTCCAAAAATACTTTTTAGCAAAGTTATGACTAAATGTTTTTGGCTTGAGTATTATGACTTTTATTTTAAGTAATCGACTATAGTGCCACACACTGTGTTCCAACTTTTTACCCACCTTCCAATGATAGAGCAGCTAGTACCCTCACTATGACTATTTTTTTTCTTTTTCTAAGAAAAAAAGAAGAAGAAAACTTAAAGAAATTAACTAAATCATCAATAAAGAACTATTGTTGAGATACGGAGTATTTAATTAATCAGAATCTCAATAATACATAATGTACCAAATGACCATACTGAACATTAAAAAATTCAAACAATTCTTTTTTTCTTTTTTAAATAATTCACGTACCGAGTGTGGGTTTATATATGGTTATCATTTGATACGTAAGATTATACTCCCTCCATCTCATTTGAATCTTTCTGATCCGCGTTACGATGATTGATCAAATTTATTTTCAATTCAATTTATTTGACTGTAGATGTAAAATTGAAAATAAAAATAATATTTAAAAAAATTACATCAAAATATCTAGAAAACTAGAAATGACATGACTATATTATTTTATCAAATAAATAATAAAAAAGAAGAAAACAAAGTATATAAAATTTCACTCTTTGAATATGATACGTAAAGATTCAAATGAAATGTTAAAAATATTATTCCATCGATCCCAAAATATTTACAACATTTTCTTTTTCAGCAATCGCGAGAATTTTTGTTTATTTCTACGTTTCTATTATATTGGTTATTTGATAAAATAGAATATTCTTGACACTTTTATTTCGAACAACTTTTAATGTAGTTTTCTGATATGTAAATTTTATTTTTTTATTTCTATACCAATATGTAAATAAAATAAATTTAAAAATCTAGGGAGGAATGGAGTTATTAAATAAGTCGGAAATATAAGTGGCAAATATCTAGGGAGGAATGGAGTTATTAAATAAAAGAACAGTACATAGTCACTCACCGCACAGCATGTCATTTCGTTGTCTTTAATATATCACACGTTTTGTTTTACTCTCTCTCTCTCTCTCTCTCTCTCTATATATATATATATATATATATATATATATATATATTTATAATATGTATTGTGAGTTTATGGTATTCATGAGACACATAATAATGTGAGAAGAATACTGTATTGGTTTTGAACGCATGTGTACGTGTTATGGACTATATTATTTCTCTCCCATCCTTTTTTAAAAGAAAAATGTCACGGTGCTACCAAGTAGTTGCTACTAGGAGTACACGCATGCTTCGCATAGATGATTATTATCTATGTCGCACAAATTATTGTCATTCGGGTCATCTGTATGAAGCATGTGTACTCCCTCCCTCTCGGAATAAATATTTATTGAGTTTTGAGGTTTTGAAGTTAACTAGAAGTATTAGTTTTTTTTTTGAAGGAAGAGAAGTATTAGTTAAATAAAATGATAATGTGAAAATATCTTACAAGATAATCTTATTTATAAACATATTTTGTATCAATATTTAATATCAACTTTATTTAATCTATGGTCAAATCTTTCAAATTTTGACTGTGAAGAGTCAAATTTGAATAACCACTCTTCAAGGGATGTAGTACTCCCTCAGTCCATGAATATTTGTCCATTTTTGACTTTTTTCGGTCAAAATTGATAAACATTGACTTGAAATTAAATTAAAATGATATTAGATAATGATACTGTTAAGAGTATCCCACCAAATTCTTTCATGGTATCAGAGCAGGTTTTGGCCCACCTCGTTTGTCAAGGTGTCCGTCTAGACGTTAATTCTTAGCGGCCCGTTTGTCTTTAGCCCAACTGTCCGTGTGGAGTTTGTATCCAACGGCCTGTGGCCCGTTTAACACGATTGCTCGTCTGGAAGTCCATACCCAGTGGCTCGTGGTCCTTTAGGTGTTGACGCTCAAAAAAAAAGTCAAGGGAATGAGAGTTCATTTGCAAGTGGTCAACCGGTTAGATTCAAAATGACTCGGTTGTCCACTTGAGGGGAAGTGTTAAGAGTATCTCACATCGGAAAAGTGTGAGAAAAATAATCGGTATATAAGTTATTGAGTTAACTAACTAAAAGATTAGATTCAATCTTTTAATGTGGTTCAACCCAAGTGTCTTATTACCCAATCCAGTTGTCCATACCCATCCCAAATTCTATCAGATACAAAAATAGTTTTATTACATTTACTATATCAAATATTTTCAAAATATTATTTTTTCTAATTAATATACAATATATATTTTATTTAATCATAGGTCAAAGGTTGAAAATAGTTGACCAAAAAAAAGTTAAAACTGGACAAATACTCGAGGACGGAGGTAATATATTAAAAGGTTAAGGTTCCGTTAACACTATAATATAAATTACAGATTAGTATAGAAATAAAAAATAAAATTACAAGTTTAAAGCTAAGTTTTTTTAAAACAAGATGTGACAAAAATATTTTATTTTATTAAATAGTCGATGAAAAGGTACAAATAAACAAAAAAATTCCATGATTTTCAGAATATATAGTAAATTGTAAGATTCTTTTTAGGACGGATGAAGTGTTTAATTTTGGCTTTTATGAAAACTTAAATATAGTGTTCTTCATAACTATACAAGTATTTTTGGATGTGCATGC